ACAATTTGCAAGCTTTCGCAAGATATAGCAGACACTTGAGTCTGCAAACTGAAAAACTTTCATTGAAACCGCACTTGACCCTGATTTTTGCTGCTGCCTAAAAGCAGGTAGAAAAATAACAAAAAAACACCCAAGTTGAACGGTGTTGTCACCTAAACTCAGATTCTGAGCAATTCCTAGGGGTGCAATTCCACTCGTCGGATCCATCGCCGCAATCGTTATCGTAGTCGCAATGCCATCTTCCCGGGATGCACTTGTTGTTGTAGCATCTGAAGTAGGTTGGCTCGCAGGTATGAAACTCCGCTTGGCTGCAAGTGGGAGGCTCGTCTTCGTACTCGCCACAATCTGGATCGCCGTCGCACTTCCAAGCCAGCGGAATACACCTGAAAACATTTAAAATGTGCATTGCGTTCGTTCGCAAGTCGCACACTCACCGTCCAGAGTTGCATCTAAAATGATCAGGTCCGCAGGTCCGAGCCTGGCATTCTTGCATTTCGTCCGAACCATCGTTGCAGTCGTCGTCTTTATCGCACACCCACACCGATGGTATGCATTTATCATTCTTGCACTTGAACTGCGTGCTGGGACACGTTACGGGTGGACAGTCCAGCTCGTCCTCTCCCAGAGGACAGTTGGGCACTTTGTTGCAGCGCATATTCAGCGGAATGCAACGCGGAGAAACCGTAGCATTCCCTTCACATCTGTCGATTGAGAGTTTGTTCGCAGGAATTAGTGAGAAATTCCACTCATTTCTTGGCCTCACCTAAACTGCGTATTTAAGCAAGTGTACTGGTCACAATTGCTCTCGTCCGAGTTGTCTCCACAATTATCGACTCCATTGCACAAATCGCCGGGATGAATGCACTGTCCGTTCTTGCACTGATACTGTCCAGGCAGGCACTTGAACGGCGGACAGTCATCGGGCTCATCGCTACCTGTAGACGCCAAACAATCCAACAAATTATCAAAAGAGATGTACTTTCGAGGCCATTTCTTGAAACTAATGGGTTTTTAGGCCCTCGTTGGGTAGAATTTCTTCTTGACCCGTTCAGTTTTTCCGCAGAGCTGGAGAGGAGGAGGATTTACAGGACTCAATCAGATGGGTAAACGAGGATTTTTGAGCAAAACCTTCAAGATTTCAGTTCATTTGCACCGAATCT